TAAATAAATGTTGAGATATTTACTTTAAATCATATTTTGCCAAGGAGCTTTTAAGTAAACCGGTATTCTAGTAATTTAACTAATTTCCCCAACTACTTGGACGGTCAAATTAATTAGATTAAGTGGAAGGCATCGGCGATATGATTGCGCCAACGAGGGCCTAGTAGCTAAAGGAGCATTTAATGAGGGAAGGCATGGGATTTTGCGAAATTTGGGAAATCTCGGTCATGAAACCACTAATTTTGCATAACTCAATTTATCTTTTCCTAGAAAAAAAACCCACCTTTGAACAACAGCGCCTTGGATTTGGAGGAAGAAATGCGAGGAAGAAAGATCTACCTAAAACTGTGAAATCTAGTTTCCTTTCTAAGCTGTGGCTCTTGACGACCAGCAGTTTCAGTCCAATCGCATCACTTGAATTGTAGCGGTCTTCTTAGCAAAATTATAATAATTTTTTAATAAAAATTTAGAAGTAGTAGTTTTTCTAAGCTTCGTTTTACAATGAAGAATCATTGACAAATTTTCTAAAAAAATAGGCTGATTTATCAAGAAAAATAAAAAGGATAAAAAGTTTAGCAATTAAGCTAACAATATTGATTAAGCAATCTTATTGCACAAGTGCAATTTCAGTACGTAAAATATCGAAATTTTAAAGTGATTATGAATTTTTCTTTTTAATTGCCCCATGTTTCATTTTGAATAGGTTTATCAATTAAATAATTTAACATGGAATTGTTTGAAACGATGAACCACTGCAAGTTTTTACTTGTCTGTTTGATATAAAAGAACAGATTAAAAGTTTGGAATTGGAAAGTTATCTACATTTCATGACAAAATTCTATAAATTCAAGTCTGTAATAATGAAGTTCCCGCCTGCGTACATAGAGCTATTTTGTTGAATAACATAAAATGTGGCCATTTTCTTTACTGCCAAATATTTTGGGTACATATCCACATTTCTGGGTAGTTTAACCGTCTGTCAAGTGAGATAACAATTGAGTTCTCCGAAGATATGAGAGATGTCAGACAGTGGAGAAAACAAACTTGATCTTATTTGGCTGAGTGAGTATGAGCACTGCAGTTTAGAAAAAAATTGAAAAATGAATTAAATTGGCCTGGAATCAACTTTCAGACAAATCAACCTGGCAATAAGAACTAAATATTAATTGGATAGGTGACTAGCTAGAAAATAAGGCAAGGTTGTCATTGGTGCGCGAGTGTAGTTTAAAAAATATGAATGCAGTCAAATTGTGACTGAGTTAATAAACCACTAGTTTTCTGATAACATAGAGTGGCACTTTAATCTGAGCCAATAGGAGAAATTGAATTGATTGAAAGCAATGATAATATCAAATATTATTGATTGAAATTATAAATTTCTCCCCCCCCCCCTCCACCGTAAATCGATAATGGTGTAGCGGATTTCAACGCTAGTTATGTATATTGTTTTGTAGACTTGTAGCGGATTGCTCCCTAAGTCTCGAACATGTAGCGGATTGCTACCTTCGTAAAGCCTTGGTTAAAGACTTGTAGCGGATTGCTACCTTAGTAAAGCCAGACCGGTTGAGAATTGTAACGGATTGCTACCTTAGTAAAGCCTGACCGGATTGCATTGTAGCGGATTGCTACGCTAGTAAAGCCTGACCGAAAAATCTCTGTGGCAGACAGTCTCTATGGCAGATTCTCCAACATCTAGCTAGACTCCCGAGAAATCTCTGGCAGATTCTCCTACATCTAGCTAGACTCCCGAACTAGCTAAGCTATAGCCCAGCTATAAAGAAAACAGACGTATAATTCAGCTAAGCTATAGCCCAGCTATAAAGGAAACAGACGTGTTGCCTAAGCTATAGCCCAGCTATAAGGGAAATAGACGCGTAGCACGGAGCACGTTTATTCAGGACGTATATTCGATGTGTAGCACGCAATACATTTATTCAGTACGTATATTGATAGGCGAATTGGAGTTTGGCAAAGCGATTAGTTATCAGATAACTCTAACATGATTCGTGTGAACATTAATAGCTAAATATTTGTGAGTAATATTCTATAGCAGGATTTCTATTTGGTTATTGATGGAGTGTCCCACAATGGTGCTGTAAGCTTTTGAAAGTAATCTGAAAAGGTGTTATTATGGTCCTTGCATTTCCACCAAATAATCATGAATCCTACTTCACGAAGTCCATCATTTTGTTTTTTGGGGGGAAAACAAAGCAAAAGTACTTTTTGTCGAGGAGAAAACGTTAACTTCAAGTTGCAGCAGAATAGCTTGCAGATATCATGCGTACGTGCACTTTTCTTTTCATTAACTCCACATTGAATGAATTGGGGTGTGCGATAGACTTACCTCCACGTGGTGCACCCTGGGCAACGTATACTCATACGGCAAAAAAGTCTATTAACTGGCAGTTGACTTCTCACTTCAAACCACCCTCACCCCATTTTATGTCATAGTCGTCTACTTCACTGTACTCACCTCACCATTTTCTACTTTCGTGTCTGTCTCTTTTACAACTTTGAAACTCTCCTCTGTTCCCCCTCTCCCTCTCGACTTTTTCAATTTGATGTTTCTTCCCCTTTGTGAAGCCTGAAGTCAACTAAAGGGCTAATGATATCCATCAAGATATCCATCAATGATATCCATCCATTTGATATAAATAAATTGAATGAATTAACGACAGACGTAGGGTAAACCCTTTTTTTAATTCCAAGGTATTCAACTTTGCAAAATTTAAATTCTCTGGCCTTAAGATCTAAAGGTTTTATCTCCAAAAATGCCGATATTCCAGTCACAAAATGACAAAAGTACCTATTGTTAATAAAAAAGCCTATTTTGTTTCAAATTATGGTCATTAAAGGCAATTCATAAACGATCTAAGCGTTGGTGGTTGGTTCAATATTGATGAGAAAAAAAACACGAAATAGCCATTTAAGTCGATGAGAAAAACGTGTAATAAATTTTACCAATTTTTCATTCTTTATGAGTGAGCGTGTGTAAACAGGGGTTTTAGATAGGATGATGAATTTTATTCGACATTTAGCGTATTCCTTGCAACAAATTTACGATTGACCTAGGATGCAATCATTAGAATTTGAAGAACCAGACTAGTTCAATAAATCACGGTTTTTGAAATTTCTTCCGTCATATTTTACTCAAAATAGAATAGGCGCCAACTTTTATCATCTGATAGAAGGCAAATGTTTCAATCTTCCTCTATGCGTTAGACAAACTTCCAATATTAAGGGCTGCATTTTTTATTATCAGAATTATAAATAATAGATAATAATAGATATTTTATACATTTATAAATATTACCGTCATTTTAAATCTAATATGACTCCATTTGGCCTGTCCCTCCCCCCCCCCCCCCCCTGCCAACAGTAATGGAATAACCTCATTTCTAATGATGATACTCTATATCATTAAGAGTAGAGGAAGAAATCCTACAGTGGGGCCGTATAACGAGTGTATTTTTATTTGAATAGATTTATTACTATCAAATGGCAGGCGTTTTGATAGTTAGCATTAGCCCTTTAGTTGACTATGAGCTTTAGAGAGGGGAAGGAACATCAAAGTGAAAGAAAGTCGAGAGATGGGGGGGGGGATAAACACAAGAGTGTCTAAAAAATGTAAGAGGCAGACACAAATGTAGAACAAAGGTGAGGTGAGTACTGTGGGAGTAGTTGAATATGACATACAGTCGGGCCATGGTAGTTTGAAGTCAGAAGTCAATTGCCGATTAATAGACTTTTTTGTCTTATGAGTATACGTTGCCCAGGTTGCACCACGTGAAGGTAAGTATAGCGCACACTCCTTATTTGAATATATTGTGAAAGGTTTGAAAACCTTTAAAACTGCTCAAACTATTGAAAACGTCTATGTCGGAATATATAAAATAGAACTCTACAGGCACTGGGAGTCTGGGGTGAGTACAATTATTTATTGTATGGTCTTTCCAAGCCATTAGAAGTACGACAACATGAAAGATAATGCATAAACGTCAGAATTCATCAAAAGTACGCTACCAGGCAGAAATATTGCTGCGTTTATGAATGCTCTGTTAAAGGGAGTAAATTACCATTCAACTCACTACCGGATCTTGACGTCATCTCGGGGGTAAACATTTTTACGACGGCTATTTAATTTATTAACACAATGACGTTTCCAAGTGAATTCGACAATTAATTTTAACTATAAATCTAAGGCTTTTTGGTCCACAAACATCAAAATTACAAAAAAGTTAGCATATTTACCATGACGTGGAGCATATTCATTTGCAATAATATAAAGCCTCCGTGAAATATCAACATTAGAAGAACTTGGAATTGTAGACCTACGAAAACTACTTAAGATTAATATTTATATCAAATGGCAGGCGTTTTGATGGCTATCATAGGTCCTTTAGTTGACTTCAGGCTTCACAGAGGGAGAGGAACATCAAAGTGAAAAAGGCCGAGAGGAAGGTGGGGACAGAAAA